AGCGCAACAACCCAGAAGACAGAAATCTTCATACTCATCGCCCTGATGATGGAGGCAGTATGACCTCTGAAACGTTGGTTAACATCGACCAGACTACACAGCGCAACAACCCAGAAGACAGAAATCTTCATACTCATCGCCCTGATGATGGAGGCAGTATGACCTCTGAAACGTTGGTTAACATCGACCAGACTACACAGCGCAACAACCCAGAAGACAGAAATCTTCATACTCACCGCTGTGAGAACCTCAAATCTTACACAGAAGTTATAAGATGATGAAAATGTATTAATACTTCTCAAACTCTAAGATGTGGCTGACTAATATGAAAAGTTTAATTACTGTTGTTATTTGAAAGAAGAAAAATATGTACACATACTAACTCACCCCAAATGATGCAAAGCCAAAGATGACAACCATGAAGTTGAAGAAGTCACAGAGAAACATCAGAGCATACACATCAGCAGTGACTCGCTGGGCTCTAGAAAGCAAGTGACTAAAAAAACCCTTCACTGAGTCACAATATCGTCTTGGGCTGAAAATAAATTTACAGGTATAATGGTTATACACACTCTTTTCTCTTTCTATCTTTATTTCTTTTACTTTTATAACATGAAGGGATAAATTTATGAACAGAATTTTATACATAATGTAAAAATGGTCTTCAGTTTTGTGATAGCTCATTAACTCTCTGGAGGTAGAATCTGAAAGTTCAACTCCACATATGTCAAAGTCCATCATTGGACATGATGCTATGTGAGACAGTTCAATCCACCTTCCTTCCTCACAGCATAATGCCCCGAGGCCCATCTAAATGATATCCTCCTACATACTGCTCAGTCTTCCAGGTGGTTTCAATACTGAACTCTGAACATATTTCATGTTTCTACTATCCAAACTATATGACACAAACTTATCAAAAGGCACACAATGATGTGTATCTTTAGATACAAGTGATCAACTGATTGTCCCTGATCTTTCACTGGCTAGCTCATGGCCAAGAAGATGGCTCTGATAGACAAACATACAACTATACTGTCCATATCTGATAGTCACTCCAATTCTTTCCCCGATGACAACGGCAGAGATAGTCTCTGAAGTGTAGTACTTTTATTCAACAGTGATGCAGCATATGCAATTACCTAGAAACACTGAGAAAAACCTCAAGTCAGGACAGCCATTAGCCCAACTGTATTAGGACTGAATGCATCTTGAATCTCATTCTGTTACCAGCATATCAACCTGCTCCTCAATTCAGAGGCAAGCTTCCATTCATTGGTCCTCGGACATATTACATGTACCTTGAAATGTGCAAAATGCAGCACTGTATGTTCAAGTTAATTCAACTTTTAAAGTGTATCAAATTCTGAAGTTCTGTCACATTAAATTATATGTAAGCGATTAAAGTTGGCAAGACTCTCGGTTTACAAGCTGCGTCAGGTGGCTGAATGGTGAATAAACCATATCTTCTGCCAACGTTTTGACAGCAATCTCTGCTCTCATCCTCAAGGCTGCTGTGTAACAAATCTGGTCTTTTGTAGTATGCTTGCTGATTGGAACTGGTGGTGGATGGCAGGTAGTAGCATAGTGTTGCTGGTGGCCTGTCTGTTGCTTTGTTTCACACTGACCAATAGGAACTGGCAGTAGAGGTCAAGTGCTTGCACTTAATGGAAACGTTGGCAGAAGACGTGGTTTATTCGCCATTCAGCCACCTGAAGTGGCTTGTAACCTGAGTCTTTAATCAATTTTGAGGTACTTATTATTCTTACCTTCTCAGCAGCTTGAATTAACCTAACGAAGACTGAAAACAACAGCTGAAGCTTGCAAACACCGAAATAAAAGACTTTGATGTACTTACGCCAATACCAGGAAGCCAGGGATGTGATCACTAACGTCTTCCTTATCAGTGCGAACCACAATTAGGTTGGAGGTACTTAGTTCTTCACCTGCGGACCTGGTATGATCTCCTGCATCAGACTGATCTACACTTGTCTTGTAGGCACTGAGACGTCGGCCTCCCTGTGTCACCACCTGCAGATTAAAAGGGAGGTTAAGAAGACTGGAAATATACAATCTATACAAGACTACACACAGTTTACACAAGCACTCTTTGCACCTTGCCATTCTCAATGCTCCTGTCTATACGGCCAAATGTATGTTGATGTAGTGTTTGAATGAATGTCAAATTTGTTGATGATAATTCAGTACTTTGAATTATTTCCATGATTGTCACTTCTAATTTAAGATCAACAATTCACAAGCAATATGTAGATGTGTTTGTGGTCTATCCCTATACAAAGTTTCACATATCTATCTCCAATTGTTTAATGGTTATTGCAGTCAAATTGAAAACCAAAAATTTTCACATAAACCCTCACATTATTGTTGCACAGCCTACATACATATATGAGAGAGAAAGAGAGGAGGGAACTTAATTCTGTTTAAATGATATATTACCATACATCATTTCACCATGCCATATTAATTGGCACCATAGTTGTTCCCATCTCACAAGTTTAGCATGTTATCACAGATTGTAGAAAATTAAGAAATATGGAGTTTGGATGGCCTCCATTAGCATAACATTCACATTCTATTTCATCAAAATGCAACCAGTACTTCTTGAGATGAGACAGACAGGCATAGTCCTATATGCAATCATGTTATGCACATCATACAAGATTGCATACATAGATGTATGATGTGCAATGTAGTCTGGTAGAAGTTTACCAATGTTTCAGAGGTGCTTGCTGCCTCCACAATGAGGAAACCAAGTATTTTTGAAACACTGATAAACTTCTGCCAAACTACATGGTACAAAATTCCAGCAGATAATCATCTATATATTTACTATCATTAGAACCTGAAATCTCACAGTGAATACACATATGGGCTTGTATAACATCAGCACTGTAAATGAAAAGGAACTAGACCAGATCTGCTTATATTGGTTTATGACAGTCTTCAAATTTCATTAAGACTTACAACTTTCATTCAAAAAATGTATTTGGTCAACCATTTAATGAAAAAGCAGTTTGTGCTGCTGTGGAAGTGATATCAACAACATGATAAACCCTGCAACAGCAGATTTGTATCTGCAGTAAATGGGTATCAAGACCTACGAGGTACGAGGTGCGATCAGAAAGTTTCAAGACTGCGCGTATAAAAACCCGTAAACTTATCTCAGGTATTAAATTCATCCATCACCCTCGAAGTAGTTCCCCTGGGAGTGAACACAA